GCCTCCAGTGTTCTGCCCTGGCTGCTATGGGTGCCGCCATCTTTGTTGCAGAGTGATGGACTGATGGTTAATTTGCATATTTTTATTAAAATATATATATATCACCCACCATTTCAGTGACATTGCCTTTAGAACTCAAATGGGCTCAGTATTTGGCAAAACTTCAAACTGGGGGTATATGTAATATTTAAGGTGATGTAATATAAACGGTTAACAAAATCTGATGCAATATCATTGTACAGACTTCCAATATCTCTGAGAAGCTAAGTATTTTCTCTACTATGGCAAAGAATGCCACTAAGAGGATCATTTTTCTTCCCTTGCTTGATGTTTCAATTGTTTCATTCAGGGGAACTTCAATGAAGTTGAGTATTCTGTGTACTCTAAGGTAAGACATGAGCATGAGACAAAACCAACCCACAACTATAAATATTTCCTCTTAGCAAACTTGCAAATAATCTGATCTTAACAAATTCAAATCCTAGTGTGTTTTACTCATACTTTCCTATATCTGGATTTTTGAAAAAATATACGTTACATGGTTAAAATATGTGAGAATTATAACACATTTATGTAGTACAGAAAATACATATTGAAAGGCTTTGGGTAAAACCAGTTTTGTTAATTCTTATAATTTAAATGTATTAAAGGATGTAATAACAAATCCTTTGGTAAAAAAAATGAACACCCATTAATTTATCTTTATGGTTATTTTTTTAAATATATTGGGCCATTTTGTAGGCATTTAACTTTTTACTATATGTGGATTTATTTGAATTCTTGACCATTTGTAATCTTTTCATAATTTTTGGTGGAATTCCATTTGGGTAATGAAATTGAATCTGACCTTTTCAGGTATAATTTTCTGGAGATGCCTAATTTAGAACTAATAGTGTGTAATTATATAAAAACACAAGTCCCATTACCAAACAAAAATGAAGTGAATTTTATATAAAATACTAAAGGCCTGGTGCACGAAAATTGTGCACAGGAGGGGGGGCCCTCAGCACAGCCTGCACCCTCTCCAATCCGGGACACCTCAGGGGAGGTCCAACTCCTGCAGGGATTGGGCCTAAATGGGCAGTCAGACATCTCTCTCGCAATCCAGGACTGCTGGCTCCTAACCTTCACCTGCCTGCCTGCCTGATTGCCCCTAACCACCTCTGCCTGCCAGCCCGATCGCCCCTAACTGCCCTCCCCTGTGAGCCTGATCTCCCCTAACTGCCCTCCACTGCGGGTCTGATTGCCCCTAACCCTCTGCCTCGCCACCGTGGCTTTGTCCAGAAGGACGTCCGGAAGATGTCCAGTCCAATTAGCACATTACCCTTTGGTTAGTATAGATATTGTATAACTTATTGCCTACAATTTGTACAACTTGAGATAGAGGAAAATCAACAGGTTGACTCAGGGGTTGAAAATTATTTATAGAGAGGAAATTTATTTTAAAACCTATTTGTAAGTAAAAGCTAAAGTAAATATTAAATACTAAAAAAATTATACAATAAAAAATAAAAAAATCCATAATTTAATGGATGCATACTTTTACATCCATTTCTACTCATTTCTTCCTATCAGAAGCCCATTCTGAATAGAAGTTGGAAAGTTGACTCCTTTCTCAACTTTAGTGACAGAGCTTGTTGAACCTGTATACCAAAAATGAACAATGAAAACTGAGGGGGAAGGTTTTTAAATGGTTTCCAGGAAAGGTATGCCTGAATGTTGCTGTGTGTTAGTATGAGGACAACTTCCTGTAACCATCTTGCCATCTGTCTAAGGATGAGGCTAAGATATGGAGGGGGAAGAGTCAAGAGACTCCAAGAGAAATGGCATTGAAGTTCTGACATATTATGCCTTAAGATAAAAGTCTGAATATTTTGTTAGGTAAAATGTCCTTTTCTAGTGTAAGTTGGGAATTTCTGTTACTTGAAGCCAAAGATATCCTGAGTATATTTAATTTGTTCTACCTTTTAAAATGTAGTTTTAAAATACTCTCTTTTCAAACTATTGTTTTTTATCTACTTTTAAAAAATGTCATTAGGAACCATATTTTCCAAATATAACACAAGTAAGCTAATTCTAAATTCTTAATAATTTTACTTCAACAATTAATTTAGAAGTCTTTAAAATATAATTTGAAAACTTGATCTATATTAGTGGCTCTTCTCAATAATGGTTCTACAATTATGAATAACTTAGAAAAGAAATGCCAGTTCATATGAGAGTTGGTCTTTAAAACATGCAATATGTGTTACTTTATTTAAAAGGGTAGGGGTGGGCTAAAAGGGGTCAATGGGGGAAAAAGGGGACATATATAACACTTTGAACAATAAAGACTTAAATAAAAACAGGCATTCACTAAAAATGATTCATTTATGTAGATTCCTTTAAATGTTAAAAATGAACTGTATGTTAATAACCATTGACTTTATAATAACAAAATGCAAGTTCTTTTCAGAAAGAAAAGTGGTCTTTGAAAAATTATAAACCTTAAAAATTCAATAAACAGGAATAATTTTCAGACATGTCTTTACCACTGAAATATTAGACTTTATTTGATGTTTTCAACATGGACTTACAAAAATATTAACAGCACAAAAATACCAATTCTAAGCCACTTTAAATAAAGTTTACTTTTAGCAACGATAAATTTCCATTGAAAAATAAAATGTTAAAAGGCACATTTATTGAATTGGCTGTACATGCAAACAGGCATCTACACAACAAACTTGGCAACGTGTGCGGAAGGGAGGCAAGAGTAGAAGCAGCAGCTCAAGGCATCTCTATGTAAATTAGCTTTTACTAGAATGCTTATCAGAAAAGTGAAGACTCTTCTTATTTAATCAAGGCACTAACACATACAAGATTACATTTTCTTGAAAGAATGAACCTCTACTATCAACTAGGAAAACTTGATACTATCACACACAATTTAGAATGAGCAAAATTTAAATCCATCAAGAAATTCCACAGGATTATATATATATATATTTTTTTGTAAGCTGACTTAATTATTTCCTATGGTAAATAATTAAAAATAAGCAAGTTCTACTACATGGAAGATTATTGTGCCATGAAATTATGGTTATAATTCATCTAGACATCTTATATTACATCCTATTAACTCCTTGTGCACATAAGAGAGAACACAGTTCCCTGATATTATTTTGGTAATCCATATATAAGCCTTATGAAATATTGTTCAAATATTTGAACATTTTGATAGACTAGATTATCTAGGAAGAGATGTCAAGGCTTGACACACCCACTACACTTCCCATTCTGTTGCCTGGTACCCTTTCTTAAAAACTCTGTTTTTGAGGTAAATACTTCTCAACACAGTGATTCAGAGATACAATGAATTAGAGCTGGCATATGAGTTTCACATAGATTCTTACAATAGATCAGTATTTACTGAAACATGTTAGTAGATATTGAAAAGCAAGACATTTTTAAAAGATTTACTATAGTTTGCAGATAAGATACTCTATATATTTATTTTGTACTATTAATATATGAAACAGAAGATTTGACTATATGGTTACAGAAAATAACTAAGCAGATTAAAAACAGAACAGCAACAAGAACAATAAAACTATTTTCTAGTCACCTTTGGTATGAATAAGTCAGAATTTTAAAAGTAATTATTTAAGTGTAAATAAATAACTCTTGCCTCTATTTTCAAAGTGGATTTCAAACAGCAAGTGGTAATAATCAATATAATAAAGCCCTTTCACACTTGATCTTAGCCAAAAGGCCAAGAAGTGACTAAGCCCTTTTTTAAAAAAATCCTCACTCAAGGGTATATATTTCTTAATTAATTTTGAGAGAGAGAAATCAATATGAGAGAAACATTGATCAGTTGCCTTCTGTACACTCCCAGACGGGTTCTGAACCAGAAACCTAGAGGTATGTGCCTCAGTGGGAACAGAACCTGCAACCTTTCTTTTGGTATATGGGACGATGCTCCAACCAACTGAGCCACTAGCCAGGGATTTTTTTTTAATAGCCCTTTAAAAAGGATAAGAAGGAGCTAAGTGATATAAATGGAAGGTGGGAGAGAGGAAAGGTCTGGAAATTGGACTAAAATAAAAAGTATGCTAGACAACAGGCTGAGATATAACTTCAATTTATCAGAAAATCAATTAGCGAGTTTCTGATCAATCAAGGCTAAAAGTGAACCTGAATGGGTTACATAGCTCTCATGGTCTTATAAAGGGAGATAAGAGTTCATAAGAATAAAGCAACTTTTACTTTTCTCAACCCTGAGACATTGTCACTACACAGAACCATAGAAAACAGACACTAAAGCATAGTTGTTAAGCATAATTTCTATGTTCTCTCTCTCTATATATATGTATATATATATGTGACTTCTATAATATAGCATATCTGATAAACACTGAAGGCATAATATTAAGCTACATAGGTATGAAGAGAATTAAGACTAGCCAGATTTTTGTCACCTACATTGATACAGCTTTATAAATTAAGGAATGTTAGAGTTAAGGTTTTACTATTCAAGTCACAATTTTGATAGCTAGCAAGCAACTGAATTAGTCAACCAATGGAAAGAATAGCAATATATACTATAAATTAGTTTTGTAAGCAACACTAAAATCTTCCATCATTAATTTCAGCCATCAGAAAAGAAATCATGCCAGGATATAAATTTAAAAGAATTTCAGCTCTTACTAGTACTTTAAACATTAATTCAAAATGAAATTAGATAATGAATTTGTACTAGTCATTTTTAAAATTTTGGTTTCTTAAAAAAAAATTCTCCTTGTAAAGTAAATTACTTTGCCATCCTTAGGCAAAACAACTATTTTGAGCATATTTATTAGAATAAATTAAAGCTAGTGATTTTATTAAAATAAGAAAAAAATATGCAATATACTCAATTACCACACTTCAGTTGGTTCAAAATGTAAAATAAAAAATTATCTAATTATATCCATTGCTCAGAATACATCAAAATCAGGAAAAAAAACCCAAGAATGTCATGAAAAGGTATGCCTCTGTAAAATGAAGCAACCTTCTAAGATTCATTAATTTTTCTGAAAACAAAAAAAACTTTGTAGATAGAACCTTTTACCACATAGTTTACTAAACTAAGCTGCCATCACGTGGGAATTAAACTTGACTGAGGACAATTCAGAGATCACCATCATTCCCGCACCTGTTGCATTCACTGGCAGATGGAATAAACCTTTCTCTCCTAGGCCCTTTGGGCCAGGGCGATGTTAATTGGCTTGGAGCCCAACATGCGGCCATTCATCTCAGCCATTGCTCTAGCAGCCTCCTCTGGAGAGGAGAAGCAGATCAAGCCAAACCCTCTGCTTCGTCCTTCTTCCTGCATTACCTTCACTCTGATAATTGATCCAAATGAAGAAAATTCTTTTCGTAGTTTTTCTTCATCAACGGTCTCATCGAGGTTCTTAACATAGATTTTCGTTCCCCTGACCCGCCAAGATCTTTCCTGTTTCCGCTGCTCAAACAATTGCTTTAACTCAGCTTGTCGCTCTGCTTTCTTTTGTGCCCGGCCTACAAATACCTGCTGTCCGAATATTTCCCTCCCATTCACTATATCAACAGCCCTTTTGGCAGCCTCATGGGTATCAAAACTCACAAAGCCAAAGCCTTTGGATTTCCCACTGGAATCTGTCATCACCTTAACACTCACGATTTTGCCATAATGGCTGAAAAATTCCTTCAGCTTCTCATCATCCATCTCATCTCCAAAGTTCTTGATGTAAATATTGGTGAATTCATTGGCTTTATTTTGGAGCTCAGCTTCCCGATCTTTGCGGTTTTTAAATGGGCCAACGAAGAGCCTAAAGTCCTTAAGCAGCATCCCATTCATCTCCTCAATGGCCCTGTCGGCGGCAGCCTGGTTCTGAAAGTGCACAAATCCATAGCCCCTGGAGACCTGATCATCATACATCACCTTAGAGGACAGGATCTTCCCAAAAACTGAAAAATGCTCATAAAGCGTTTTGTTATCAATGGATTTGTCCAGATTCTTGATGAACACGTTCCCGATTCCAGATTTCCTTAAGTAGGCGTCGCGTTGAGACCACATGAGCCTGATGGGTTGGCCTTGTACCACGTCGAAGTTCATGGTGTCCAGGGCTTTCTGGGCATCAGCCACGTGCAGGAAGTTCACATAGGCATAGCCCAGGGAGCAGCGGGTGACCAGGTCCCTGCAGATGCGGATGGACAGCACAGTTCCCACGGTGCTGAACTTCAGGAACAGCATGTTCTCGGTGACATCTGGAGGGAGGTCACCCACATAGAGGGAGGCCTGGCGGTACTTGGCGTCTACATCCATGTTGCTGGGCCCTGATGGGGAGCGCTGGTCCCTAGGAGCTCTCACAGACGATGGCTGCAGGAGGGTGGCTAGGCCACAGCTGGCTGGGCTCTCGCGCGGTGGCCTCTGGATCGCCACTTAGAGCTGGAGAGATGGGGCTCAGGGACAGCTTCCCTGATGGGGCTAAGGCAGCAGGCTCATCAAAAGGCCCCCGGCAGCCCACCAGGCCCCTCCGTGGAAAGCTGCGACAGAACTTTCAAATCTCAGAGAAGGCTGGCAGGAGGAGACGTCCCTTCCCAGCCAATGTGCGCAAAAGCTTCAGGTGGCGGGCTGGCCCTCAGTTCCTGCGTTCCGCACAGACACGCTGGTGGCTGGTTTCCGAATCAAAACAGGCCTCGCTCAGGCTGGTTTAGAGTTACAGCCGCGGGGAGAGGAGCTCCACAAGTGGCCTAGGAGGCCGCGGTCCGGGACGCGCGGCGCGGGGCCAGGCCAGAGCCCAAGCCGCCGGGACCAGGTTCTGCAGGCGCCGCGGCCCGCGCTGCGGCAGAGAGGACGCGGGCCCGCCAGCCCCGGATCCGCAGACCCCGCGCGGCCCCCCCGGCGAGGGCGGATGGGGAGTGGGGAGGCGGACAGAACGCCGGACGCAGGGACGGACGCGGCCCGGCAGGCAGCGGAACAGGGTCGGGGGGCTCACCCGTGTGCGGCCGGCGGGGCGGGCGGGAAACCCGGAACTCGCGCGCTGAACTTCCCGCGCACTCGCTGCCAAGGGGGCTGTTTTCTTTTTAATATATTTTGCGTGTGTTTTTCTTCTTGCCCGCCCTCTCACTCATTTCCCACCCCCACCAGACAGGCTGAGAAGCAGGAGGCGGTGACTGGGGTGGAGAGAGGCAGCCAGGGGAGGGGCCCTCATCACCCACCCGCCCGCCCGCACCCACCCGCCCGCAGCGCTGCGCAGGGTCTGACTGCAGAGCTTTTCCAAACGCGGAGCAGGGCCTGTCACTTACAAGCTGAAAACCCTCCATTGGCTTCCTTCCTTTACAGGCGAAATTCCAACATTTGCACCTTGTTCTACACAATTCTGCAGGCTTGCTGTCATGTTCCAGCCTCAACTGCTGCTGGGTTCCCCTTACTGAACTCCATGACACACTCACCTTTTTTTAAAATTTTTTCTCTCATAGCCAATGCAGCAAAAATACGTTCCTCTTAAATCATTTGGATCCTTTTTTCCAAATACCAGTTTTCCCTAAACAACTTCTGAAAGTTTAGGCTTCCCTCTTAGAAACATATACCACCGTAGCGTTTGTCTAATTACAACTAGTCTATTGTACCTTCTGTGACAGTAGGGACCATGTTCATTTTATTTCCAGGCCTGGCCAGGGACGTTTAGCAATGGGATGCTCAACATTTATTGAATGAATGGACTATGTGAAATAGATGAGGTATTTAATCTGAGGCTGGTTTTCATGCCCAGAGGCATGGAGATAGTGTACCTCATCTCAGAAAGCATTATAAGGGTTAAATGAGTTAATAGATTTGGAAATGTTTAACACAATATATGGGACATACTAACATTGGTTTTATTTCCTTTAGCATTAAATAACTTCCTTAACATCATTCACACAAAACCTTAAATTTTTAATGATAATGCATCTTTTTAAATGTTACCTGCAAAACTGAATTGGGCAGATTGGTTTATATAAGGCTAATCTAGTGTTTTTCAATTTTCATTCAACATAGGAATTATCTGGGAATCTTGTTTGAAAACAGATTCTGTATCTTGGAAATTCTACATTTCTAAAAAGCTCCTGAGAACGAATTCTCTTGTTCTCTGAACTACCCTGAGTATCAAGACCTCAAAGCTGAGTGAGCCTCTCACAGTGGCATCTTTTCTAATGTAAGGCTAGAAAAAAAATATTTCTCTTTGAGAAATAAGGATACTCTAGTAAAATTCATTCTTAGTAATACACCAAACAAAACCCCACTAAACATGCATGATTTTCACTATAAAATCCACATTGCTTTTAACCTATCTAAAATTGAATAATGGGTCTATGATTCTTCCCAAATTAATCATAATGCTTTCATGTTTGTGAAATCTATTCTGATATCTGTTGCTCTTGCAGGATCATTTGTTCAAATAAATAAATTGAGTAATCTTTTCTCCAACCATGTCTTCTGGGCTACAATTTTTAAAAGGAAGAAGGACCACTGACATGGTGCATATTAGCAACATTCCAACACATACTTTAAAAATCCAGACACTATTTGGCATTATTTAAAACACATAAAAGTAATCACCATAGTCAATGTTATATACGATTTTTAAAAAAGAAAGTTCCTAAGTGTGTATTTCCTGAGAACATTATCTCAAGACTTGATTTCTAAGAAAAACGCCTAAGAGCACAGTAGTTCTTTGTACAATACTTCAGCCATAGCCAGATACAAACATATTTCAAGAACTCTTAGGCTTTTCATTTTACTTTAGTGTGATTTTCACTCAACATTTTGTGAAAAGTGAGAGAGGTTCCAAATTCAGAATTCAGTCTTATATTCTGTCTCTAATCAATTTATGTGCAGCGGGTATAAACCTGAATTTGTTAAACGACCACCACTCATGCGCTATGCTCCTCTTGACTCAGCATACTGTCTTTGCTTTTATATTTTAACAATGTAAGCATTTTTAAACATCCATGATTCTACCCTCTCTTTAAATCTCTAAATCTCATCTTTTTGTCATTTCTGAATGTGGGATGCTTTTACATTTGCCTCCCCGCGCCCCTCCTTCCCATGCCACTGCCTTGGGCTCATTTCCTTGCGTATTACCACATGAATTTTATTTCTTCATCTTCTGTATCTACATGCCAGACCCTCCTGCATTTTGCTGCCTGAATAATTTTACTAACATTTCTTTCATAGTATTTGATTTAAAAATAACAACTGACTTTCAAATTATTGCAAAAATCACTCCTATCCTAACTATATATATCTTCTGTCAAACTAATCCTTCATTTGTTCTAAATGTACATGCAATTATTTCTTTTTAAAAAATATCCTTCCCCTGATTATCAAATTCTATCACCCTTCAGCCCGCTTTTCTCCAATGTTTATTTTTTCTCTCAGTAATTCTGACATACTAACTTTTCCTTTTCTCAAACTATTTAACATATTCATATATACAGTTATTCCCTAACTTTTCAAAAGTTCACTTTATGCCACTTAGCTTTTGGGAAAGACCTACATTAGTACCCGTTTTCATTAACCCAAAGAAATCCCAAGAAGATATTTGCTTTTATGGAAATAAAAAGGCAAAAAGTGGAAATAGCCATTAGCTTTGATTTGCAGTGAGATACCAGGGCAGCACCACACTCTCCCCAGGAACTAAACTCAGCATCTCAGCATCAAGCCCCACAGCTCTAGACTGTGTGTGTGAGCATCTGTGCTCTACCTCGGCTTATTTTGTGCATCATTCATTAGCAAGATGTGTCCTAAAGTAATTGCTCTTCACTTTATGCCATTTTGGCTTTCGCCAATGGGGAAGCCTGTAGCTAATTTTGTGTTGAGTTCAAGGCTTTGATAACCCTTAACTTAAATTGTAGCTTTGTATATTGCTGACTTGCATGTCTTTTTAATTCTTGAAGTATTCCAAAAGTATTTCAATTAATTGCCAATATTTTGCCTCATTTTGAAATAAGTTATAATTTTGTCCACCTCATATTTTTAGCTCAATTGCCTTTCAATTTAAAAGTTTGAAAGGGTGGTTCACAGATTTAAGAGGGAATAAGATGCTGTTTTGCTTAAAGGACTGAGAACTCTATTCACTCATATTGATGTCAATGAAATGAGTAAACAGTTACTTTGAGTATAGAAATGCTTTTGAAAATAGAAATCTATTGTACTAATTAGACCAAAGTAGTTTCTGAAGTCTACTTAAATCATTGCTGTGATGTAGTCAACTATCTGTGAAATTGTGCTAGGCAATAAGACTATAGTGGTTACTAAGACACAAGTGGTGGTGGGAAACATTTAGAGATCCAATCTGATTGTCCTCAGATGAGTGCCCAAAGAACCTTCATTTTATCTCTTTGCCCTTCCTACCTGGCTTGTCCCCTTCTCCTTGCTCCAGAATTCGGACTCATCTTACTGTCTGTCCCATATTATCAAAGCCAACACAACTGTTCACCCTGTCTTCTCATATTCTTCTGAGTTAGTTTCTACAAAGCAATCAGACTCTCTATATCCAGTGTTGATCAGTTCTCCTAACAAATCCACTGTATGACTGTGCCAAAATCTCTTTAACCTCACCACAAGTAAAGAACAGAAGCAGTGAAAGTCTCAGAGAATCCCTTTTCTTGGAGAGCATTCTTTATTGATGTGCCATTCAAAAGAGTCCTATTTGCTCTAAACTTGATGAAGAGAGAGGAATTGAGGACTATCATCTTACTTTTCATACCAAGGAAGATCTAGCATCTTCTATAGAGAGGTTCATCTCATGGCTAGTCATTCAGACAGGGTGATTTTCTGACACCCACTATGGAGAAGTGTTTTCTACTTCAAACAGAAATCTTTCAAAGGGCTAAAAATAAAAACTAAGGCAAAATTACCCTTAAACTTAGGTGATGAGTATATGTAGGTGTTCACTGAATTATTTTATTACTTTTATATATGTTTAAATTTTTCCCAATAAAAAGTGGAGAACAAACTACAGTTGGCCCTCCCTATTCACAGGTTCCAAATTTTCAGATTTGACCAACCACTTACTGATCAAAGAGATCTTTTCCTGCTCATCATTTTAGTATTTACCAGTCTACACTGCAACCCTTAGCATTAGTCAGCCAAATACCTACTAAGAAAACAGTATGCCAGGTTCCATAGGCATAACCTCAAAAGTCTTTGCATTAAGATCTATGGCAGTCAATGCAGTAGAGAAAGTGGTACAAGACTGACAGAGTTATAGAAAATTGATCTTTTAGGTAACGTTTCTCCTTCTCATTCTCTTTAACCTTCATGTATATCCTTGAAGAGGAGTCTTATAAAGTAATGCAAGCAAACTGTTACCAGCATAGAGTAGGTAATTACCTCCTTCTTGTCCTATACCAGGTACATTTCTATAACTGGGTAAAAATGTTTTATGACTCAACAACTTTTCTGCCTGTTTCTTGCTCCTGGTTGCATCTGACAAACTCTAAATACCCTGAAAGGTCTTCTAAATATAGATATAAAGTCCCTCTCCTGCAGTTAGCTAACTTCTGTCTTCAAAGCAACATCTTTTCCTCAGGTAGCAATTGCTGAGATCTGACCTTGGTGTGTAATTGCATTTTCTGATGCTTGCTATTATGCCAAGCTGCCAGAACAACTGGTCAATTATGGTTTAGGAGCTATCTTTCCATTTAGCTACTTGCTATGTGATAGCCTCTCTACCAATC